TTATTATCTATTTCCGTAGCTGATGTCAAGATATTTTCAAAATATAATTAAACTCTTTTTGTTAAAAAAAGAAATGTTTTGTATTATGTTATGATATTTTTTTATATAAAATATGAAATATCTCGTAAAGTACTTTTCGCTACTTATTTTTTATTTTATTTTATTTATTTTTTATTATTTTTACACGTAGAACAATGGAACACATCAATTAGTAATATTAATTTGAATTTGCCACTTTGCAAAATACACCAATGTATCTAAAAAACGTAATATAATTTTTTAAAATAATTTTTTATATTGTTTTACGTCAATTAAACATCTTGAGTCAAAAACAGGTCATTAAGAACTGATCTTAACGTCTGTTTATTTTACCTATTAAAATAAATGATAATAAAATATGTATATATTTTATTGGGACACCCTATATATATGTAAATAAAACATAAAAAAACTTGAAAATATTTACTTTGTTATTTTACCTTAACAATTTTATATGCAGAATGACGAGGAGAAGTAATTTATATTTAAAAAATCACATGATTTTATTTAAAGACTGAAGACGATCTTAAAATCTTAGAAACGTCAGAACAAAGGCATTTTTATTGCAGAACGTTTATTACGAAATAAAGTAAGTTTAACTTGAAACATTTTGTATAACCAATATTTTCGAAAATATTTGAATATTTTATTTTTCTTAAAATGAAACACGATATACATATGAGAATCTGAAGAGAATATTCATTATAGCATCACAATTGTGCGTAAAATTCATCAAATTATTAGAAAAGTGGCTTTTATTATTGCGCCTCACAAATGCTGCACTTTTCGCAATCTAATTCGAATTGATTTTGACGTTTAAACAGTGAACCAATGACGTTAAACAGTGAACCAATGTGTTGATCGCTGTTAATTCTTTCTCCGTATAATACGCGTTATGAAGTGTAAGGCCTCTTTCTCAGGGCCTTTCTGGCGCGCGTAGTTTATATTACATATGTTTACTTTACGAACGCGATACTCTTGCTTCTACTTGTGGTGACAGGAAGGCGAAATTAATGCATCGCACACACAGATAGGACATCTTGAGTACAAATAGTGTGTATTTTTTAACCTGAAACAACGCACTGACAATTTTCTTGCTTTTAGAAAACAGACATTTTATGTTACGTGCAAATATTATTAATAAAATATTGTTACATATAAAAGTTATATATTATAAAAATTTAGAGAGGAAATAAAATAGAAAATATTTTACTAATTTTAATATTGTCTTTATAAATTTAGTTTCTTGTAAACTATTAGATTGAACCAAAGGTTTGTTCGGATTTTAGTCCAAACATCGAACTCTCAAATATAAAATAATGTCTTACAATTGATATTTGAGATATGTTGAATATGTCAGCCATGCTGCGTTATTTTTTGCTAATGTAGCAATTTCGTTCTCATCAATTGTAGAGAGCCTTTCTAACCTTGGAGCATTATTTAATTTCTGATACTTTAATTGTGGAATAATAATATAATTAATAATGTCGTTTAATATTACTATTCTCTAACATTTTCGGTACTTTATAGTAATAAATATTGAAGATATTATTTTGAGTCTTAAATCTGTCATCAGATTGGTAATCAGTAACTTTTATAATCTTTTATATAATCGGACAACTGTATTCTCAACTTCTTGAAATTATAAAGCTTCTATATATTCTCAACATTTTTCTCAATCGTTTTATTTTAATGATACACTCGCAAAATAAGAAGGTCGTTTTAATAATGCGCATAACATTTTCATTTAACGTATGTTTTCGCGATTATTTGATCAATGGCTTAGTTTACTGCGATCGTTTGATGCGCGTATTAATTAGTATTAGAATTTAGCATTAATATACTAATTGATACGCATATCAAATGATCGGTGTAAACTAAGCCAATAGCAAGTACGAGTGATAAAAAAAATCAGCGCAAGAAGAAAAGTTACATTAAATTCTATCAATTCATTGAAAATAGATATTAATTAAAAATAAAGATGTAAAAATAGAAACATTCAATTATATTGTATTATATTGTTCAATTCAATTGTATTGTTTAAGCAGAAAATATCCTTCGACAGGTTAATAAGATTCTCATCAAAGGTTAGTAAGACATTTCATACAATAAAATGCAATCATAAAATGTCTTTAAATAATCTTTAGTAGACACTGATTTCAATCACGAATGTTTCAATCACTAATTATTTTAAAACAAGTAATATGTGATGCATGTTTCTCGCTGAGAAAGAAGTGAATATATACATATATTATCGTATAAGTTATATATGTATATCTCGCCATTTTTCAATATATAAATTTGAATAATTTATTTTTAAACATTTAATACCTTAACTTTGTTTATGTAATATGTTTAATTTATTTTAAAATCTCTAGCATCTTGCACATAAATTTGCATTGATTAATTTTTAACTTTTTATTAACAATTTTTTGCATTGCAATATTGTTAAATAAGCTTATAGATTATATTAAATTATGTAAAATGCATTTCAATTAATGCTTGTTCTTCCGATCGCGATTGTCTGTGAATCTATTCGTTCAGGAGGGAAATTCTGATCAAAAAGAAAAGCTAAACGACTTTAAGTACGAAAACAATATTACGTAAAACAGCAACACAATCGTTTATTATATTGTACATCGTTTGCAGTTTGTTCCTTGTTAAAAATAAAAAAAATTTAGTATAATACACAACATAAGGATATAAAATAAAAATATACATTTATATAATATTAAATATAATACATAACAGATTCTTTTCAAAAGTTGCGTGCATTTACTAATAAATTTATCTTCAGACCATTATTTGAAAAGATTTCGCGCATCTCTAACATGACATTTTGGCAATCGTTCGCGTAGTTCATTAAGTTCATCACATTACATCATAATGAGTATAAATATCATAATTTTCCAATCTACGTATATCACACAGGAAGGTCCAACGGAGCGGGTATTAATAATCTATTTAGAAGACTTTACAAAATATTTCAAAACGTAGCACAATTGCTTTGATTATTGATCGGATTTAATCTCTATTTAAGTCATCTACGAATCACGCTTAAGTGACACACTACTTTTAATTCGATTAATTTAAAAAGTATTGATAAATGTACGTGAAATGATTCTTTCCCAGGAAACGGTTATTAAATTGTGAAAAATGGAACTCCGATTATATCTCAAAATAAGCTTTATCTAACATAAGTGATACGCTCACTTAAATTGTGATTGAAAAAATCATGTGTAAAATATCAAACTGACTCTCGAGATTTATTTATTAAAGTATGTCACGTCTTAGGACCGATTTTAACTGAGTTTCTCAGCAGAAACACGACTATAAATACGGGCCTTAGGCGACAGACAATCCCTCGTGAAAACACCGCGTCTCCCCGTGCTCTTCATAATTTCTCGTAAACGACAGACTCGTATCTCAGATTAATTAAGACGAACTCGTCCGTAAACGACAAACATATGGATACTCTCGCATTTCTCATTCTATTTTATTATGTAGATGCACTTCATGAAATAATGCGTGTGACGGCCAAGTATAAAAAATTGGAGCAAAAGTATAATGTTGATGTGAAGTTACGTTGCGGAAATCATAAGATAAACGAATTATTTATTGGTAAAACTGCGTAATATATTTCCAGTTTGATTATTTTTAACTCAAACTATTTATATTTAATAATAGAAAAATATTGCTTCTAAATCAATTGTTTAAATATTTCAATATGTTTTATTTTCCGAAGTAACATGGCATTAATTGTTGAATTCTGTGACATTTTAAATATTATTTAAATTCTTAATAAAAAATATAATTTATAAATAAATGTTATAAAATTAGAATCTATCTTTTGAATATATTATTCTAAAATTTTTTATGAATGATAAAACATCCTTTGAACAAACCTTACACTAAATAAAATTAAAGAGATTTAAGGATTACTTAAAATGTGTTATTAAGAGGTCGTGTCAAGTTTGCGCGCAAGATCGACCGTGTATCTTTACGTGCGAGTCGACGAATGTAAAAGTGTATGCTATTGCGATCAATACTGCTTTGCGTGAGTTTATTATATGGGAAAGAAAAGTAGCTTTTTTTGGAGTTTTTTATTTTGCATTGCATTTGAAATTAGTTTCAAAAAATGTAAAAATATAAAAATTTTTTAAACTCAGTTAAAAAACATAAAAATTTTGAAAAAATTAAAAAAAATTCACAAAAAATAGCGATTTTTGTCATATTTAAAATGTTATTTTGAAAAAAAATACTTATTTTCACAATTTTGTTTAAGCTATATTAAAATAGATTATTTTTTTCCTGATTTTTCTAATCTTTATACCTGATTTTAAAAAAATGTAATATAAACCAAATTAGAAAAATCAGAAAAAAATAATTCATTAAAAAAAAATTGATGGATACTTTCAGATAGCTTAAACAAAATTGCAACAATAAATATTTTTTTTTAGAATAACATTGTAAACTTAAATGTATTAGAAAAAAATTTTTTTATAATACATTTTTTCTATTAACAGATTTTTTGCAGTAACAGATTTTTTGTTTTGTTACTTAATTCTTTTCCTATATAAGATTTTTAGACTATGCTTGTCGTTAGCTTACTAAATGGTTAAATAAATATTTAGTTATATAAGTGATTAATTCTATTTAATATAATCTAAAAAATTTATATTTCTTTCCTCATTTATTTTAAACAAACAAATTAATAACTTAAAATTACGTGAAAGTTATTGAAGAAAAAATATATCTACCTAACAGTATTATGTAAATATGGCCAAAATCGATAATTTTGATTTTCTCAAAATTCTGATACACACTTTTTAAGACCGGATTCGAATTAGCACGAAAAAACTACAGAAAACTACTCTTCCTTTTCAAACAACAAAAATATTATTTCAAAAAAATCTCTAACTTTGCAAGTCAATATAATTCGATTTAAAAGATCGACTCACGTGCCCATTATCGTCAAGCTGATTGTTGGTTAGCTTCAATTTGTCGAAAGAGATCGATTGCTTCATCCAGTGAGCGCCGCTTGCGGGACTGTCGGGGTGCACGTGGATTCTGGGGGGTGACACAGGATCGGCGCGACCTGCCACAACCCAGGCGCTGCTGTGAAACGCGTATCGGTACCTTTTATCGTCGCAAGGGACAAAATCCATCACCATCAGATATTCCGCGTTGGGATCCAAGCCGAACAGTCGACACTGCCGATTATCAAAGTCCAAGTTATTTCTTAAACAGTCGTTTCGCGAAACCCGTTCACTTTTCATCGACTTCATTACTCATAATCGGAAACTAGTAATGTCATTTTTGTTAAGCAAAAGTTCGAGATCGGTTCGCGATGCATCGAAAGTACTTTAATTCATATTAAGATCGTGTAACTATTCTGCTCTGTTCGTTCTACGAGTAATGCCGGAAGTGGCCGAAGAAAGACTTTGAAGCGGTGAGCTTGTGCGTGACAAGAAAAAGAACTAATTAAAACGACACAAGAAATGTTCACAATTGTTAATGGCGAGCAAATAAAAGCAGCCTTGCTCCAATTCATTCAGTTGCATAACCTTGATTTATAGAATAATCCATTATAATAAAGCATTAATTTTGGATTAATTGCGTACCACACATAAAAATAACAAATCTTATAACGAATTACTTAATTCATATTTAGTTTCAAAACCTAATTATGAATTACATGTCATTTCAACATCATATTTAAGTTAATTTGTAAAAAATTAAAGTTTATTTATATATTAAAATTTTCTTTATAAGGAGTGAATAAGAATTATATAATGAAAGTAAACATCGAAATTAAAGTCGTTTTATAACGTTTTACAACAAAATTTTTGCGTATTTGCGCGTGTGTCTTTGTGTTGTGTATTGTGTGCATGTATGTGTGCAGGTGTGCGTATGTACAGAGAATGACCCATTATAATTTATCTCTCGAAGTATAACAAACAAAGAAGGAGTAACGCATCCGTGGGTTAAATTGTTTCGAAAGGAATATCAGATGTGTTTGTTTTAAAGTTGGAGATTTCAAATCATCGATTCAACGTTCGGGAAAATGTTGCAAACTATTCATGTTTCATATATTATATGTTTATATTCAGATACCATATCGGCTATTTTTATACATAAAATAATAAGAAAAATCGATATATCTTATAAAAGTTTTTAAAAACAAGACACTTTTGAAGAAAAAGGTTCATAAGTTGTGCAATTAGCAGAGTAAAATAGAATAATGTTTTTAGTATTTTGAAAAAATTTATTTTTTTTGTAATTTATCGATGTGTCAAAAGTATAAAGTTGCATAAAAAAACTTAAAAAATAAAATTTTTTAATTAATTAGAATCAACAATGTGACAGAAATTTGATCCCTTTGAGTTGCTTTCTATTTTCAGTCTTTCTGTCTCTACATTTAGAAAAACTTTTTACTGAATGTGTGTTATTCAGTTTTATTAAATATTTAAAGCTATTTCCACTTATATTAATTGTAAAATTAATACGTTGCAAATCATTTGCATACACAATTTTTGTGAAGTAAAAATATTTTATTTTAATTAATCGTTAACATACATAATTTAAAACCGAGTGCGGTTTCAATATCACCATTCGATATCACCATTCGATAGAGCGAGCCCGATTTATTTATTAGAATTTTTCGGGTTTTTGATGAAAACTACTTTGTTAGAAAAAAGGAGTGGTCTCAGACACCCTGTATATAAAATTTATATATATATATATTTTTTTAGTCAAAAAAATAAACTTTAAAAAATGCAAAAGATATATACAGAATGGGGCAGTTAAAGCGTTACAATTTGATTGCTCCTAAACTTTTGAAGATTTCGATTTTTTTCTAAATTTTTCTTAAATTTGGAAGCAAATATCATTATTGCCGATTTATTGTATAATGCCATTTAAGAAATTCAAGTTAAGCCATTCAATTTGGTGAAAGAGCTCAAGGTCAAACTAACAATGAGATCACTATCTTATATTTCCCGGCAACTGCACAACTTTTGTTTGAAACTTATTTCTAGAAATGTCTTATTTTAGAAATGTCTTGTTTTAGAAATGTCTTGTTTTAGAAACGGGTATTAGACTTTATTTAATTTAAATATTTTACTAAAATTATATATTAAAACGTCAGCTTATTTTTAAAGTAGATAAGTAGATTTACATTCCGTATAATTTGACATGTCTTTATTATAATATTTTTCCTAATAATTTTATTAATAATTTGGACAAACTATGTTCCATGTAGAAAGTCACAAGTTTCAACACATTTACTGCATATGTGAATTAATCTAAAAGTGGCGAAAATATACAAATTTAAATAATTGTTGAAATCAAGATAAGAGCGAATTCTATTCTTGAAACTGGCTACTTTCGCTTTGAACATTGCATAATTTAACGTAAAGTTATCGTATCTACTCGCACCACCACTTCAATTGTTGGAATTTTAAGAATATCACAAGTAATTAGCTCACCTGAAATGTAGGGAACATTCTTCGTCCGGCTTTCGTAACAATCATCTCGGTGCCTAGCTGATGAAATTCCTCCCACAACGGCTTCGCTTCCAGGGCAGCACCGGCACCGATCAACGCCTGATGAAGCGGTCGTTTGGCACCCAGTTCCTCGGCAGACGCCGCCTCGTCATCGTTTGGATGATGATCATTGTGATGACGATTATTGTTGTTGCTGTCATTGCGAGATTCCATCGTGGCTGACGAGAAAATCGGATTCGCCACATGAACTGGCAAAACAGCCTTCATCGGATTAGGACTACATGATGATCGCTTCACTTTTCCGGCGCTCTGTAAGCAGGCTAAAAGAGGCAACAAAGGAGAATTTAACAGATAAAAGCGTAATATTCGGTGTAATGTGTAGGGAAAAGGCAAATCAAAACCGACATACAAATAGTATCATATTTTTTTATAGTATTATATAGTTTTATAATTTATAACTTTTAAGAAAATAACGTTTTTCTCGAAAACACAACATAAAAATTGAGCTCTGAGAAATTGGGTTCGAATCGACATGTCTGTTAAAATTATAGAACATATTAGAAATATGGAAATATACTGGAAATAAATTGTTAAATGTTTAATATAAATTGTTCAATAATAGTGTACAAATTTATTTCAAATTTTGTGTATTACAATACATAAATATGTACATCATTAATACATTAAGAATATGGTAATTAACAATGTAGCCATACATTTGCCTTTCACGTGTGAGGCATCTATAAAAAACTAGATAGATACAATCCAATTTTTTTATTTTAAATCAAAACTAGTGTCAATTTATGTATCAATAGATCGCTCATTACAGGGTATATCGGTTTGCGGCACATCCTAATTAAATTTTCTACATTATACCGTAAAAAATGCAATAAAGATAAAAAAAGATAAAAGGTCTTTTTTGATAATACATGCTTGCAGTTTTCTAAACGTATTTTATTTTTATTTTCACTTTTATTGCTTTTTTTAAAAGGCAATTAATTAGTGATTGGATTTATTTATAAGAAAAAAAGAATCTTTTTTAACTTTTGTGAATATAAAGTTAATTAATATAAACGTTGTGTAGTTACAAAACCAAATATTATGTATGTATGTGCTTGGAAATATCAGACGATCGATCAGTTCGAATCTCGAGTTCAAACGTCAAATAGTTAGGACGCTTCGAGTCGAAGGTATGTTTGAACAGATTCAAATACAAAAAAGTGAGCATCAAATTCGGACACTTCGGACAGTTTAAACTGTCCAAATATCTTAACGTAGACGATGCAATATTGATTTGTAAAATTAGGTAAAAACAAAAATTTTCTTTTTATTGTTTGAACTATCCGAATCTTCGAACGTTACAAACGTTTACATTTGAACTCACAATCAATGCTCATTTTTTTAATTTTAAACTGCTCGAACAGTTTGATTAGTTTGAACATATAAAAAGTTCGAATCTTTTGTCTGAGTCTTTATGTTTTATTTTAAAATTGCTTATACATTGTTGTGCCAACTTTTTCGCAAATGTAAATATGCAAGATGTAATAATAATGTATCTAAATTATAATTTACACTTTTTCTACCATCACGAGCTTCATGATTATATTACACTTCTTTTTTTTATACATCATTCCTTTTTTCTCTCTCTTTTTTCATAAAAAATCTCTTCACAAATTGTGATTTTGCATGTCAATGCATTAATTTTATGATTTCCAGAATCTCGAATTTAAAATCTGAAAATCGTCGAACGATTGATGACGAATATCGTCGTGGCTTTTTATTTATTTTTATTTATTTTTCCATCTTTAAGAAACTTGACAAGTATCGTGCGTAGAATGTAATAAAAAAGTTCGGAAAGCATGGTGTGTGAACTAAAGGAGGTCAAAGAGGAGCAGAAGCGTAAGAAGTGCTTTAATGCGTCTCCGCCACTTCAACGTAACAAATAAACGTAATCCATGATATTCAAACCGTTGTACAAATTATTAGCGTTACATTTTTACAATATGCATACTACAAACACCGCTAAAATCAAAATTTTAGTTTTATGTTAAATTTTTAATTCTGCAATACAAACTGAAATAGAAGTTAAGGTAGCAAAGTTCAAAGTTTTATATCAGCAATAAATTACTTTATTTAAAGCGCTAACAGTTACTTAAATTTCCATTTTCGCCGTTTGTACGTTCACAAAACTTATATTGCAGCTTTATCTTTCACGTGCGACGATTTATCCATAAAGATATTAATAAAAAAAACGGTACGTTGAGTCAAACAATTAGCAAACATTTTAAGATGTTACTAAAAAATTTAATAACAAATCTTAATGAAAAATTTTTGAAACGAAAATGTAAACTTTACCTTCCATTTGTTGCATTGGCGACGGCACAATGGCCACTTGCTGATGCTGTTGATGTTGATACTGTTGTTGATGATGCTGCTGATGATGATGATAATGATGATGCATCGACCATTGCTGGTAACAGCATTCGGCAACGATTTCACGTCGTTGCTCATGTTGCGGTTGCATTCTCGTCAAATTAGTGCAGTGTCGGTATTAATTGCCGCACAACAACAGAAATATGCACTATCCACGTGAGACGTAATCCATGTCGCAAACTTTATTTTGATTTGCGCAAAGCACTACGGTCACAATTTGTCGACATTTCTGATGTAATTGAAGAATTAATAAAGGAAGAAAATACCGTTTACACACTCGCAGACAATGTTTATCATTGTACAACCATCAATCAACTGATATTTGAAGACGCACATATCTCTTCAGCTCTGAGAAAAACGCGCACTTTACCGAAAATCATCGTCGCTCAGACAATTATATGTATATCAGTTCGACAACAATTAGTAATTTGGGATTGATTATTGGTCGAAATGAATTAATTATCTCTGTAACACACCCACTTTAAGAACAAATATGCTTCTATTGGGAAAGCTTTTCAGTTCCGTCCTGCTTCTCCTTTTCTTTTTATTATTAATATCGTCGGTAATGTGACACATGTTGAATGTAACGTGAAACGAGCGATTTCTTCAGTATTTCTTCTCCCACAATTTTCCATTGGAAGATCAGATTGTCGTTTCCACGACACCGGCAGTCTGAATCTTAACGACGGCATCTGATAAACGTCGACATCATCGAGGGATGAGAGACCGCTTCTCTATCAACAGAACTTGTCCTCACCTTTGCGCTCAAACGCTGACAAGAACGCTCAAAGTCGCGCGTGCTTCCCGAATCCCGGATGAATCAGAAAGAACTCACTCGAGCCGACTACCCCGCGGCTTATCATCGAGACATCATTCTCTCTCAAAGTAGAGAATGTCTCCCCCCTCTCTTCTCTTTTTCCCGTCTCTCTGTACTTGGTGGAACCGTCGTTTCAAAGGAAGAAAGATGAAGCCAGAGCGTTGTACGGAGAAACGCGGAAGAGAGGAGGGTTTCTCCGAGGATCCTCCTACAAGAGCACCCACAAAACGCCAGCGCTAGACGGTGATGGGATGCTGCATGAATCTTCTATCCTCTGCTTTGATGCCAGAAGGCGGAGCCTCGATGAGCCAGAAGTGTCAAGAGTAGGTGCAATGGACTCAGGAATGGGTCTTTTCATCGTGCCGCCCGGGAATATACACTCGACCTTAAAATGTATACTATATTCTAAATATAGAGAAGTTCTTTATCGATGACACGATTGGAAAAATTGTGATAGATATGAGCGAATTAAAAAGAAAAAATTTGTTTGCAAAGATATGATTTTCTCGAAAGTAAAATTTTATATAACAAATGTAAATTTTGTACTGTATTTACTCTTATTTATTTTATTTAGATAAAATTATTTTCTTCCCAACTTCCCTTTCTGTATCATTAGAAATCTCCGTACACAATACAAAATGTTTGTGCCATTATCTACATTTATTTTATTTACAAAGTTTTATAATAAAGTTTCAAGAATTTTTTTCTTCTTTCACTGTCATGGTAATATTATAACAAATTCTTCAGCATAGTGTAGCTTAATCTCCTTTCTATCCGCATGTCAAGTTTAAAGACTTCAGCACGTTCCGTTGGCTTAGCTGTGCAGATTCATTCTTGTATAAATACAGCAAAAGTGCGACACAAAAAAATAAATTTACAACAAAAAGTTAATAAAATTTTTGGTAAAAAGTGAGGTCAACATTTATGAAAAGTTGGTGGAGACAATATTCAAATCAAAAGTTCTCCTCCATTGGACGAAAAAGTTTCAAAAAAGCAAAAAATCTGTTTCAAAGTATTCTGGCCATTCATCGACAACACATCGAATAAAAATGTTTGTGTAGGACAAACCCGATCATAAATCAACATTTTTACTTTAAGCTTTTGAAAAGACTTCAAAAACAAGTTGTGCGTCTCAAAATTGCGTAATTGAGACATTATTGGAACAACAATATAACAGAATAGATGAGAAGAACCGATTGTCAATATTAATTTTGAAAAATATACCAAAATATAATAAAATGTTTTCAAATAATTTTTTGTGTCTTTTTAATATTCTTTATATAAATTAATTTTTCTCGTTATTCTATATATAAATTATTAAGATAATATTTGAAGAGGTATCTTACATTTATGTTAAATAATATTGTGATAAAATCTCAGAATATTTTTAACGAAACAAAGATTTATTACTACCATTTTAACAACATTTTAGCTACATTTAGCTATGCATATGTATGTATATCTGCCATTTTTAAGGAGTTTAATAAAAAACTTTATCTTTTTTTTCTTTTTTAAGGTCTTTAAACATTTATCAAACACATTTTTTTGTATTTTTATCTAATTTTGAGGTATTTTAAGTTGTCATTTAAAATAGAACATTCTGCATATATATATAGAATTTTGTAATTAGTAAAATAAAACACATATAAGCTCGATTTAGACCCAAATGAGATTTGACATATATAGGTATTGTGTTAATATTGCGTTAATAATATTATTCCTGTGCACACTGTTTAAAGCCGTAAAGTATTTTAAAGCACATTTAAGATTATTTTCTCATTCTAAAACTCTTTTAAAGTAACAGATCATTAGCAATACTTACGAAAAAAAGGAACACATGCTTCTTTATGCTTCTTATTTCTGCGATAACGTAAAAAACATATTGATTTTAGCATTTTTAATATTACAGCAAATCGGTGCTTTAAGCGCGAAGCAAATGAACAAATTAAAATAAATCGAAATTCCAACCATATCTCATCTTTGAATGCAAAAGTAAAGTAAAAGTAACTTTAATGTTTTCGACTTTAATATTTTGTATTCTTTAATAATCTCAACTAAATTTTTTATTTATATTGATAAGAGATAACCGTCCAATCTGGGATTAAAACAAGTATGTTTTCAAATATATGTATCACTTTCAAATATGTAACGAGAGAAGACTGCTAAGTGTGTATAGAAAAATTTTTTGAATTTTTTTGAGTGTAATTATCCGAGTGTAATTATCTGAGTATAAGTATCCTTATCAAAATTAGTGACTCATAGACTTTTGTTAATGACAAAATCTATTTGAGGTCATATTGATTCTAGTGCACACTTAATGTTAATAAATATCACAAACATTTTTTATATTTTGATATAATTTTTTGTTGGAAAGCTAAAAAATGTTAGTGAAAACAATGTTTTATGTTAAATTATTTTTTTTTAATGTTATACGCGCACGTGTGTATGTGTGTTAATTACATAATTATGATAATAATCCCAATAAACGAGAAAGTATTGAAAGTACAGAAATAGGATTGAAAATTATTGAAAAGAATTAAATAGAATTCAGCATTATCGTAAATAATTTCTTCTCAGTAATTTTCAATCTCATTTCTAAACTTTCAATATTTTCTCGTTTACTGGAATAATAATAATAATAAAATAAAACAATATTCTTGTACACAAAAAGTATTTTTTTCGGAAAACTCAATAATTTTTATAAAAAAAAGTGCTTAATTTTTCCATATTTTGTAAATTAGAATAAAAAAACAATAAAGTTAAATTATTTACAAAAGATACTCTTTATTGCTCTTTTTTGTACAAATTAAGATTAGTTATTAATTAATGTTTGGTTAATTGTCAGATCTTAATTTTTCAAATGTCGTAAAGATTTAAAAAATTAAAAAAAAAACAAAAAAGTTATAAATTTTTTTTATAAAACGTGATTTAGCGCAATTTTCATCAAATTTTCTATTACTTTTTATTTGTTTATTTTTTTTAAAGATTTCTATTATTTAACTAAACATTTTAGATATTTCAAAATACTTTTTTTAAAAGTACCATTGATAAGAAAATGGTATAAAGTTTAAAATAAAACTAAAACTAAAAGCCGCTTGGAATTATGTTAACCTCGTGTGCGGTTTGTGCTTAATTTAAAGATTAAGTTTCAAAGAAAAAATTGTACAATTTCTTATGAAAATTATCATATAAAAAGATATTTTGTAGCGAAAAAACAGATAGAAAATGGAAAATTTTCAAGATGTTTCGTGAGAGTCCGATATTACGAATACTGCTTTTATTTTCGATTCCATTTTAATTCTCCTATTCTTTGTAAGATAAGCCCTACGCACAATAGAAAAAATATTAGGAATAAGAATAAATATTAAATATTAGGAATGATTTTACTTTAAGCGAGGGAACGGAATGGATTCATTATTTCTAATTCACGATACGTTAATCCATTCTTCATTTTTTTGCTTTGAAATGAAATAATATCAATTTTCCACTTCTAATATTTAATATTTATTCTTATTCCTAATATTTTCTCTATTGTACGTAGGGCCTAAAGTACGCGCGACTTAACGTGACCGACGCCGCTGCTTAGATCACGCTCCTCTATTTACCCTCTTTTGTCTTGATAGCTTCTCTCACGTCTCCTTGCCCTCCTCCTATCTTTAGAAATCATGCGATCCGCGCGGTCTTCGCGAGTTCGACTAATCTGCTCTCGAATCGCCAGCATTAGTGACGAGCTCTGCGTAATTTCTCCTTACGTAACATTGCTGGCGATCGTTTTGCATCTTGCAACGACACAATTAATAAAAAACAATTTTGTTCTTATGAATCACATATCAATTCCGCTTGAGAAATTATATTAACAAATATACATTTAAATATTTATATACGAATATTATTAATCGATAACTATTAAAGTAACATTTATAAAATAAATCTTAATTGTTAAATTAATAAATTTAATCATTAATTTTATTCCAAAAATCAAGACGTCCTCGATTCAGGTCATCATTTTGATCATATTTACAATTTGTATATGTGATATTTCTGTCGTACAATTTATTTTACAATTATTATCTTTATACATACAGATAATAATTAATATATGTATTGATCATAATTAATCCTCAAAACACTAAGTACTGTTTTCCACCAACATAAATCGGACTTATGAGTCTCTCGTGCCGGCGCCTTATTAAATAATGTTAATGTTCTCAAAAAATTCACATATGTTAATTAAATTCCCGAATGATGAAATTGACGAAAAATTTATTTTGAATATTTTTATTGCTTTTGACGAGCAATCTAAAAACTTTATAGCTTTTTTTAATTTAACTTGTAAAAAAAACACTGCGGAAGTTCTTTAGTATAAAGCCTATAACTGATAAAAGCAATAAGGAATTATTGTCGTTCAAAAAAAAAGATAATTATGAGATTGCACGAAGGCGTGAAAATTAGGGAAAAAATAATTCTCATATTTATTTTGTACTTTTAGCGAATATTTTATGAAAAATAAACATAAGAAATGAGATGGAAACATTAAACACACTTTTCGAGCTTAAAAATATTCTTTCACCAACAATTTGCGCTTATGTTCGTCGCGACTTTACCAAACTTGAATTGAGTATTCTAATCGATTAATATTAATAAATTTAATTTTAAAATATAGAAAGTTTAGTTTTAATATTTATAAAATTTATATATTTATAATATTAATAGTGATTTTTGTTTTAATTATTTTTTTATTTTATTTAAATAGCTTAAGTTTAAAGTGTGATATTGAAGATATCAAGATAATAAAATATATTTTTAAATATTTATAAATAATTTGTTATTTTATTATTATTATATTGAAAATATAAGGTTTTATTTTAAACTATATCTTTAAATAGATATATAATGAGTTGTAATCATTATATTGATTGAATTAGAAGTTTTGCTGGAAGCAGCAATATGTTTCTCGAGCATTTTTGAGATCACAGTAATAGCATCGCTTTCTTTTAGACAAATGATCATCATTAGGAGCTTCTCGTTGCACTTCTTCACTTGAGCACACAGCCATTTCTTCAAAATCTAATTAGAATAAAAGCTACAAAAGTACCCAAACTTTCAAAATACGTTTATTTTTGTCAAAACAATGAATACATATCCAAAATCACGTTTTTTAAAATTCCAGTTTTGATCGAACGAAAACCGAACTAATGAGTCTTTCACCGCCGATTTCAATCGTTCGACATGTACAGATTTTTGAGAAAATTTTAGTAATTGAAATCGCTAGGGCACGAAAGACCCATGAGTCCGTTTTGAGAGTTAAATTTGTATCATTGTGCTTTCTAGATTTTATTTTTTCCTTCTGCTTCTTCTTTTTCCTTTCCTCAATTTAAAATATGCAAAAAAACAACTAAAATGCATCTTCTACTTATCGATTTACGCTTAGTTCTTTATGACATTAACATGTGTATTCACTTAATAGTTTTTAAAGCAGCATTGAATCATAGATTTTATAATTACGTCTATATAAATTGTTTAGGTATTATTTATGTAATTATACGAATTTTTTCATGTAGATAATGTAAACTATTATAAAAAATAATCATTTAATTGTTAAGATAATTGTAAATAGTTAAGATATCTAGTTTGAGTGCTAATTATAAAGATATATTTAATTGCAAAGCTGTAATAAATAATAATTTTGCATTAAATTTTTCTTACGTTACGTTAACTAACAAGTTAATAAAAATATAAGGTCATCTTCAATTCATACTTTATATCGCATATATGTATGTATAATTTAACAATATTATATTAAAAGATATTTTATTACTTATATATGTATATTATTATATTATTATAGCATTTTTTATATTATTTTATTAAACATATTTTCATTAACGCAAAAATACAAATGTTTAGCGCATTAATTATGATTGTATAATATATTTAAGCTACTGACACACAATTTCGTAAAAATGTTAAAGATATTATCTCTAAAATAAAATAGACGTTTGGTCGTCTACATTCAAAAGGTCAAAACAATGTATTCAACAAAATTTTAACAAAAATATTAAATTTTATAAATTATATATTATCTATCTAGATATAACGACCAATCATAGTCTTACATCGTCTACACAGACTATTGTAGTTTACGCAAAAATGTAAAATCCAATTTTGTATCGAAAACAATAAAACAAAAAAAATGCATCATAAAGAACTCAATAAAACGAGATAATGAGTTATCGCCTTAGCTTTTATACGATGTATACGTTCTTCTAATTGATCAAAGTTAAAAACTGTCTATTAAAATATAGCACAATATTAATTAGTGAAATTTCTAGTTTACGCATAGAAGCATCTTCGATCGATATTTATACAAACGAGAATATATGAACATTTTGGATGTATTCGTTATATTCCAAGTATATTATCCTACAATATAGTACCTGTAACGTGTTTTACATACACGCATGATATTCGTAATGGACAAAATTGAAATGCATTTTGTATGCTAAATGGCTACTCGGCTACTGTAGAACTTAGCTGAAAGCGGTATATTAGGTTGTGCCATATAAAAGTGCTGATGTTCAAACAGGTAAAAATTGACTACGGTTAGCAAATTGGCAAAGTATATTTTCGGTTGTGTTATTTGGAATTTACAACAGTATTTGAATATCTTTTATCATTCAACTTTTTTGTTAATTTTTTTTTTTTCATAGAAGTAAACAAAATTTTCAAAAAAATTATGAATACTTTGATGCAGCTAAGATAGAAACATTAATTAATTCAGCTTTCAAAGAGCTCTATTATCGAGCGGATTTTACTCCAAAAGACAAAACTTTTAAAATATATTTAAAATATATTTTAAATAAAATTTATTTTTTCAAAAACAGCATTTTCACTTTGACTTGGAAAAATGGTAATTTTATATAGCAACCTAATATTGTAGATTACTTGCCGGAATAATGGATGTGTATATTGACAAAAATAATGGATGTTTTTATGTGAATTTTATTTATAAAAAGAAATTAATATACAAGTATGAGAAGGACGCTACACATGATCGGTCTCAATTCTTCAAAGGATCCTCACGTCGTGACTTTTTCGTAAATATCGGTTTTTTTTCCCTAGTATTATCGAGGATGGATCTGTGCTCTGTGCAATGTACTCTGGCTAATGTTGAGGATGAGAGATGAAAGAACTAAATAAAATGAGCAAGAAGCAAAAAAAAGGACGGTGATAAGATTAACAATAGTAATGATACATCCTAGTGGTAGGACTGTTCTGATCGGGGGAAAAATCCCCCCCGATTGTAAGAAGACACACTTTTCTTTCTAATATCGTTTGAGAATTAGACGCCTATTATGGTGACAACATTTAACTGCTGTACGACGCGCGCTTATGTGCATCCGGTAATCACACATTTGACACTCTTCGACGTTTACGAACTACACGGTGTTGTGGAAATTAATCCAGAGAAGCTTTGCTATCGTAATAAACGCGATTTTCCCCGCCATTCAATCCCGTTCGTTACAAAAAAAAAATAAATATGCGTATCAGTAGTTCGTTAAACGCTTCAATATTTGTTGTTAGAAATATCTTTCTATCTTTCTTTCTATCTATCTTTCTTTCTTTCTTTCTTTCTTTCTTTCTCTCTCTTTCTCTTTGTATTTCACAATTTATATAAATGTATGTTTATAAAAGTATATATGGATGTAATAAATGTCGTTTATAAATTTGTGCAACTTACAGAAGTATTAAGCTACAAATACCTATTATACTTTAGGAAATTAAGTCTAGGTGATTGCTAGTTCATTATTCGTATATTGATATCTTCATTAACGGCTTGATAAAATGAAGCGAGAGCAGTATATGTAACGTGTTGCTCCAATCGTCAGGTCGATTTTCGTTATAGTGCGAAGTAATCGAAAGAGATCCCATCTTCTTGGTAAATCATTACCGATAACACTAAGTGAATGATAAACTAAAGGACATTGATATTATGACGGATGAACACGACACTTTGCCTTTCGTAATCGTTAAGAATATGTTGCGGCGCGCAATCCCTTCTAATCGTTGACAGATTGATTTTTATCATTACTATTTTTTTGTTTTATACAGTAACACATTTAGCTACAAACATACACTATTACTTACTACTTTTTAACAAACTCTGTGAAAAGCAACGCCCCTCCGGATTTTTCTGGTAGATGTATTCCCAATTCTCTGTAACTATCTTCCCAAACTTCATAGTCAATTGAAAAAAATAATTATAATTATTATACTCTCTCTCTCTCTCTCTCTCTTTCTCTCTCTCTTTCGCTCGCTCTTTTTCTTACAAGAACTTAATGTCTTAATATGTGGTGGGTCGAGGGTAGCAGTTATAAGATCCTAAACGTCGTATTCGAAAAGACAAGTCTAAGGATTTCACTTCTTCTTGTTCTTGTTATTTGCGCCTCGCGGTGGCGTCACCGGCCGCCCCGCGTTCAAGCCGCCGTAAGTGAATTTCCTCTTATCGGCCGGCTTTAAAATTTGAAAACTGCACATGAGAGTCTCGTCCACCGACATCATGGCACCCGCATTGTCAAATTCACCGCAGTAGTTCGGAGCCGAGAATAACGTCACCAATTGTCGTTTGGCGAAAAATTCATAGCCATCTTCTACCACCTGCGCATAATCGTGTTCATTTTTTAATTGCATTTCATGGAAACTTAGTGTAAACTTGTCAGATATCTATCTACTTGTATGTTTTTTTACCTGATGCGCACGGCATATAAGATCGAAGTCATGTTTGTGTAAAAACTTAGCAACAACTTCTGCGCCGAATGTAAACGATACACCGCGATCATTTTCGCCCCAGCCCATCGTGTCCTTATCAGGATCAGACCACAATAAATCACAGAGTAATCCCTGATCAGGTACATCCGTCGGTCGCATGATACGTCTAATCTGCTCCATACTCTGCAAATCCGGACTCAAGCCTCCATGGCAGCAAAATATCTTTTCATCCACGATTGCGGCGACAGGCAAACAATTGAAGCAATCGGTAAATGTCTTCCACAATTTAATATTGTAACGACGTTTACCTGAAATATATGACTTTATTATGTAGAAATAACAAGGTGCAAATGATTCGAAAGAAGATCATGATATAATACTTACATTCATCATAAAATCCATATATCCTATTGATGGATGCGCATTCATGATTTCCTCTTAATAAGAAAAAATTTTCTGGATATTTGATCTTGTAGGCAAGAAGAAGACAGATAGTCTCTAATGACTGTTTCCCTCTATCGACATAATCTCCTAAGAAAAGATAATTACTCTCGGGAGGAAAACCACCATATTCGAATAATCGTAGTAAGTCATAGTATTGCCCGTGAATATCGCCTAAAAAAATAAAAATATTTATCATTAAATGATATCGTACATTACTAAATCTAAATTATAGTTTAAGTACCAAAAAGCGCAATTGCGCTTCTTTTCTTCCGTGTCAAAAGGTTCTGATGAGCGCTATAGTAGGTCCATTAATTTTCACAAAGTTAAATTAATCTCTTATATAAAAAATAAAAAATAAATCATCTCATCAAAACTGTTCTCCGTTATCAAGTTAAACGGTGAGATAAAATAAAGTACAATAGCACTTGTTGGCACTCTTGCAATCATCTTCAGTGCTCAAACAATTAAATTCAATTTCTTGAAGTCTCAAATTTTTACACATTAAATGCTTACCACATATTTTTAGAGGTGCTTCAAGTTCCAAAAGAATAGGTTGCGATAGAAAGATCTCACGTGATTTCAAACATAATCCTCTAATCTCCACTTCTGTCAATTGAACATTTTTGCCAGGCCTCGCTCCTCGTACTATAGAGATGTAAAAGTAATGCTCTTTTATAACAGTAATATCAAATACAAATGAATGTATGTCATAAATGCTATTTCTTTGCTCTATACTGAGAGAAAAAATGATTGCAGTAACCATCATCTCGCTATAATTTATAGCGTCAACCATATTTTTACATAGTATTCTGACTACATACTATTCTGACTACAAATTATAGCTAATGCAACACTATGGTCATTATATAATCGTAATATTCATTTATATAACCATATTATATCAATTAGTTGTTACTCCAAAACAAAATTTTTGTATAATAAAATATATTATTTTACTATATTTATATTTAAAATCATTATAACAAAATTTACATGTTGGTTATATGATTGACAGCACTATGTGTATAAGATTATTATTGCTAAAAATGAATATCCTGACTATAATTGTTTTACTAACCAATTATAGTTCTAAATATCACACACTTTTCTCTTAGTATTTAGTATCTTTTATATTGTTTAATATAATTATTAAGAATTATTATTCTCTTGTCTGAAAAAATAGAATTTAAAATAGGTCTATTTTTTATACTAATACTCATAATATTAGAAATATTTTCTGAAATAATAATTGATCAATATAAGTAAAAAAAATTAACATTTTGCATATTTTAAGAAATGTGTATTGCATAATAAAATCATTTTGTTAGCCCATTTCAACATGCAACCACAAAAAAATCCATACAAAACATAAATTATGAAGAAAGTAAAAAAAACCACAAAACATCGAAATAAATAAAAATCTTATTCAAAATCACACAAAACTTATTGATGTGATTTTTCATATTTGCTTAATATTCATAAATTTGATAATCGAATATAAATAAAACCCAATATAATCTAGCGTTCATAGACGCAAAAAAAAATCATTATCCATCATAAGAATACGGAAGAGGTTTAAAATTCTCTCGTGACATGCAGCAAGGAAATTTCATTGATACGCAAAGACGGATCTAACCAAAATGCGTGCAATAAGAGCAAGGCTTATATACGGCCGTATTTTCATATAAACAAACTACCGTGCGCGCGGACTTCGCTCCGAATGGCGAAGTCCATGGAGACGAGAGCCGAGATATCCATAGAAAAGAACTTTGTTTCGGCATGTTCGCGCGGTCAAATGTTACGACACTGCGTAATGATGAGAACAAGATAGTGGTGGTCAGGGCGTTGTTTTATCATGCCCTTGAGAGAGAGCGAAAGAGACTGAATCAGGCGCGCAAGCCGTCGTCGGCAGACCAACGAACGACGGTGCGAGGATGACGAAGAAACGCGCGACGAAGCGCACAGAAGCGAACAAAATGAACAAACGAGCGAAACAAACACGAACGAACGATTATTCACAACATCGTGCGTCGCCATCCCCCCCTTTTCTTCCATGCTGAGACGACACACGGCGATCGACCAGTTTTACCTTCTAAGAGCCGAGCTATAATGTTGTCAATGTTCAACTTGTCGGTTTCAGCCATCGGGCCGGGGTCTCTTGCGCGTCCCGGACTTGACACAGAACACTTAAATTACGGGAATGGATTCTCCTGGACTTCACGGGCGCGCGCCGTATGATACGCGAAATCACGCCTGCAGCTTTGTACGAGACACTCGCAATGGCCGCCCGGATAACCGCGCACTCCACTCCCTTTCGCCTCTCTCCACTCCCTCCTTCTTCAACGAACGACAATCAAGAGCGTGGCGCTCGCCTCTCGATCCCTCGAATATACGCGTCGCCTTAATTTTTTTTTTTTTGTACGCCAAGTGCTGCCAACTAAAGTGTCGCCAATTACCCAGAAGTCGCTATTTTCCAGTAAACTCTATACATACTGGAATGAGCACCCCGAGCTTGTTTGTGACAGACAGAAAACCGATAGAGAGACAGAGAAGGCATCACCTGCTACCACGGTGTAAGAATATAAGGTGATTTCACGACCATTGTATTCTATCAAAAAATCTGTGATCAAGATGTCATAAGGCATGTCACACAAGATGTCACGTTGGTGCAAAATTCCAAGTAAAAAAGGATAGAAGATGTGGATAAATGTGGATAGAAAAGGATAGATGATAAATCTCTAAAGCACATCTATATATAATTATAGTCCTAAATAATACAAATTTTTTAAAATAAAACTTTTAATATTGTGTATTACTAACAAAATATTTTTTTATTTTTTTATAACAAATTATTTTTAGTTAAATTTGCAGAAAAAATAATTAATAATGTATTCCAGTCTTTATAAAAAATTAAGTTTTTTTAAGAAAATGAATATTTATAATTAAGTTCTGCAGGACAATAAAATTTTAATAAAATTTCTATATATGTATATATATATATATATATATATT